CAACCTCCACCTCCATCCCCATAATCTCAACATCCACCTCCATCCCCATCATCCCAACCTCCACCTCCATCCCCATCCCAACCTCCACCTCCATCCCCAGCTCCCTGGGAGCACCCATCCTGCACCCAGTGATGCTGACGATGCTCTGGTCCCCCCCTTGCCTTCTCCAAAGCCCGGCAGCAGCATCAGTGTGAGGCCACATTGGTCCATCAGACCACATCTCAGGGTGACTCCCTGAGCCACACGTGCTGGGGAGCAGCCATCCCCAGGGACAGACACAGGGACAGCCCCACGTGGCTGCACCCCTGGGCAGGTGCAGATTCACCTTTGGGACCCTCACGGGAGGGACAGGTTTTGCTGGGGTTGGTGGTGCTGTGGGTGCACAGCCAGGAGGGACTTCGCAGGGAAAAGCTGTGGCAGATGCATTTTCGGTTATACCAGATGCTGTCCTGGGTGCAAAGGGAGCTCGGGGCACACCAGGAGCAGAGCTGAGCACCCCGGCACTGGGAAGGATGCTGCAGTGAGGGCTGCAAACCCCCGGAGAAGGCAGAAGGATCCCATTCACCTCCAGTTCCATGGGCAGGTTGGACACCCCTAACCCCCTGGCAGCAGGAAAAGCTCTGCCAGGCACGAAACGAAGCACACGGAGGGTCCAGAGAGCAGGACCCCGGCCTTAGAGCACACCACCAGCAGCCCCACAGTTCTTGGTGGGGATGATCTTCCTCTTGCAGGTGAACATTTTCCGGAGCTCCCCACGGAAGCGGTCGTGCAGCCAGGCGTAGAGGAAGGGGTTGCAGCAGGAGGAGCTCATGGCAAACCAGTGGCAGAGCAGCTGGATGAGGAGGAAGTAGTCCTTGTTGATGAGGTTGATGTCGATGTCCCGGATGATGTTGAAGACATGGATGGGGAGCCAGCAGACCCCAAAAACCGCCACCACCAGCAGGATGAGGCGGAAGAGCTTCCTCTTCCTCAGGCGGTTGTATTCAGCTTGGCTCTGCGTGGGGTGGCCGGGGACCACCCGGTTCCTCAGCTTCACTGAGATGCAGATGTAGGAGAGGGAGACGGCGGAGAGGGGCAGGATGTAGGTGACGATCAAGGTGCCGTAGGCATAGGCCAGGCGCTGCATCTCCTTCTCCATCCAGAACTCCTCACAGATGGCAAAG